TTTTATTATATTGACCTTTCACCCATGCCTGACTAACAGTAGAGAAGTTACAATGACGTGGCTCACGTGCACTCATGTTACCGTATCCAATAACATAAACTGACCTTTGGTTTTTACAAAGTAACTTGTCTGTGTTTTAGTTGACTAGTATTTTGTAAAATACAGTCAAATTTAAATTATTATAGATTATTGTTATTTAGAAATAAGTTCTTAAACTTATTTTTTCTAAAACATAGAACAGTAAATAAAGATTAAAAGCAAACAATAATCTCTTCTAGTTACGACCTTTGTACTTGGTTGCCGCTTGACGTATGTTGCTAAGCCTTTGAAACTTTGCACATGGAGGATATGAAACAAAATATTTTTTTTAGGTTTTATACATACATTTGAATAACTAAAAAATTATAAATTACTACATCAATACCATAGAATTCAACTATAATTTATCAAGCTTAGTAACTAAGATGTATTTTACTCTAAAAAAAAATATTAAATTTTGAGCAGACTAAAGACACAACCTACCTCATTGAAATCTTTATTCAAAAGAAAAAATTTGCACTAGCCACATTCGAAAGGCTGAGAAAACCACTAGAGGATCATTCTGAGCTTCTGATTGGTTATTCATGTCATATATAGAAGTAAGTATATATAAGGGAGTGTTTCCAAAAATGGAAAGAGGTGGGCAGGGTGCCACTATGTTTGATTTATTACATGAGCAACATTTTGGCAAACAGAAAAGATAAGACTTTCTTATTTTATATTCTAGCTTGTCAATATCTGTAATTTGAGTTTTTAATTCATATGAAACTTTAGACTTAGTATTTTGATTTCACAAGCACCTAATTAGAACCGGTGCTCATTCAACATACCACGTGACACACAAAACTTGCATTTATCTTTTGTTTTTTTTATTTACTTTTAAATTAAGAAATTGAATAATATATAGTACTAAAATTTGAATTATAATCTACAGTTTGATACCAAATTTATTGACAGAAATTTATGAAATAGTAGTTCAATAAAATTTTGAATGCGGGTCAAGAAACAAGATGACTTGGCTTTTCACCTGTGCCCCGTCCCGAAAGGGTTAAGTATTATTTTTTGATAAATGTTTTTTTCAAGTGTCTGATAATGCTAAATGTTTAGTTTTTTCTGCTTCGTACGTTAAAAAATGTAAGGACCACACAGCAGATTGTTTTTTTTTGTTATCCCTAAAGCTTTTATTTTTTACACTGGAACTAAACAAGTAGTATTATTTAAAAACATGTACATTAATTTATAGGTGAGTCTTAACATAAAGATTTGCTCCATTTTTTTTTTTATTCCTACAAACGAGATGCAGATACAACAAATGTATGAATGTATATTTTTTTTTCCATATTATTTTTAAAGCATTTCCTCAAAGGAAAAAAAAAGTGACTGGATGTACAATAAATGCAAATGTTGTGTACATGTAGATATTTTTATAAATTTTAAAGCTGCTTTTCTCTTGCATAAGATTTACATTCTTTAAATTTTGTTCATGTGATTTTTTTGTTTTCATGGTTCTTAAAACTTTTGTTTTTCCTACAGAATGAATGCTTGTAGAATAAATGTTGGCTTTTAAATATTTTCAAAGCTTTTCCCTACAGAGGGCATATAAGTACAGTAAATATTCTATTCTTATATAGTGTCTTTTACATGATTTTAAAAGCTACTGGAGGTGTGTATGCACCACAACCCATGTACCAGACTGCTCCTATGATGGGAGGATTTCCACCTGGTGGAGTTTTGGGTACACCTAATAGAATGATAGGAATTCCACTTCAGAGTAATTGTGTACCACAGGTAAGGGTAGTTCATAACATTCACAAGTTTTTTATTTAAGAGAAAATGTAGACAGATGAGTGCACTGGATTGTGAACATTTCTGTCTTTTGAGTTTAAGCCAATATTTCGAACTGTTATAAGAAGACTTGCATTAGCAGCTAAAAATGTCATCCTCAACTTTTTTGGCAGATCCAAATCATAGGTTTTCAGTCCATTTTATAAAAGTGTAGAAAAGTTTTTTATATTGAGTGGTAGCAGCAAATTGGTATTTTGTATGTAAAAAGTATGCGTATGCTAAGAAACAGTTATCCTTATCAAGTTACTAAATTCTTCAGTAAAGATTTATCAATTACTTTGTTGCCAATGGAGAGACAAGTGACATTTTTTTGAACAAGTTGATATTAAAAAATCATTTTCGTTAAGTTAACTTCAGATAATTACTTAACATAAGAAGTGACAAGAGTTTTGTAAAAAAATAAAATATGTAATAAACTACAATTATGGAAGATTTGAAAAAAACACCATAATCTTAAAATCTTAAGCCTAAATATAAGTGTGGTTAATATTGTCTTCTGGTTGCAGATTATTTTCACCGAGTTATTCTAAGTTGTTATTACAAGGCTTCTCTTGTAATCTTGTCTGAGATGTATAGGTTGCGTAAACCCACCTTTTTAATAAAATTCTCTGTGCTATTGGTGTAGGTTGAGTAAAACCCACCTTTTCACTAAACTTCTCTGTGCTGTTGGTGTAGGTTGAGTAAAACCCACCTTTTCACTAAACTTCTCTGTGCTGTTGGTGTAGGTTGAGTAAACCCACCTTTTCACTAAACTTCTCTGTGCTGTTGGTGTAGGTTGAGTAAAACCCACCTTTTCACTAAACTTCTCTGTGCTGTTGGTGTAGGTTGAGTAAACCCACTTTTTTCACCTAACTTCTCTGTGCTTTTAGTGTAAGTTGAGTAGATCACAGGTCCACCTGTTTTGAATATCATTCATTAAAAATTGTAAATATATCTGCATTTTTGTTCATAATCTATTTTAGATTTAAAAGTTCAAATTCCTAATTCACTAATGTTCCATTTTTTGTGTAATAGTTTGTTGTTGAAAGTTTCATGATTAATGTTGGATATTATGATCAATATTTATTCCACTGATGTTATCTAAAAGAGCACTTAATCAAATAGTGTCAAGCTTCTATATCAGAATAAATATTTTATATTGTTCTTGATGTACTTTAAGTGTTTTATTAATGATGAATGTTTTAATTGTAATATTTACAGATGTATCTTCTATACTTAGTGTCTTTATTTCTATTATTTATGCTCTCTTTTAATGTTTTGTTATTTCTATATTGAGAAATGTGTTGCATATCTTTGTCTTGATGTTTTATTTTTTGATTTGCTTATTTACCCTTTTGTCTAGATGCATTACTCGTACCTTGTTTTAATTGTAATACTAAATTTCTTTATCTTGATATTTAAGGTGTTTTACTTATACATATTTTCTCTGTAGTATTTCTGCTTAAGGTTTGAAAAATGTAACTTTTGAATTTGAATGTACTGTTTTCATAGTTGTTTGAAGGAATAATTTTTTAACTTGTAATATACTTCTTTTATATCCAAATGCTTGTATTTACTTACAGGCTGTGCCTTCAACTAACCCTTTTGGCCCCTGGGGGATTGGTCCACCAGGTGGAGCTGTCTTGGATAGAAGCCTTTCTAACCCTGGCCAAGGAACACCTAGACTTGGCCAGGTTGGTTTTGGTGCTGTCTTTCTCTTGTATTTTTTAGTCTTCATAGTAATGTAACATTATTCTTCCAAGTAAACATCCACTTCTAACTAAACTAACACAACTAAATTTGACTTGCAAAGCTTAAAAGTTTTAAAAATCACTGAAATGAAATTAAAAGGGAAAGTTTCTTTATGACCATACATATTTTATAAAAATAGCAGTTGTTTGCTGATGCCAACTTGGTAATTTGTTTAAGTCAAGTTTTACAAAGTGACAACTAACCATTTTTGATTGCATGGAAAAAATTGGGGTAAAAAGAAAGATACAAAATGAAACTAACAGCAGAAAGTGAAATAGAAATACATTTCTTCAGATTTGTAGGCACTGCATGTTCAGTATAATTTGTTCTCAAAGAAATAAATGCTTTAAATATTAACACTCTAGAGCAGAATTTCCATTGTGTCACCTTATTTAAATTGCATGATATCAAGTGTGACCACCAGTAAATGACCACATAGAAGTAATGAAACTAATTAAGGTATTCTTACAGTTAACTTTTAATAGATTGGAAAGTCATACTGACAGACCAGATGGAAATGAATTAATTCACACTATTATTTAGAGAAAACCATATTGACTGACTTGACAGTCATACTCTTAGCAAATGGTTCTCAATGCACTTTATAGAATTTATTTTACAAATACCAATGCAGTGGCTTATTTAGCATCTACATATACTTGTTTCATAGTGAACTAACTATTTGTAGTACAATGCTACCATGAGTGGTAAGAGAAATATGTCACAACCCTTTCATATAGCAAAATTATTAACCCCCTTACCTACTGGGGCCCATTTTGTCTTATTGTGAGGGCAAAATCACCTTTGTGAATTAAAAAAATTATAGATAACTTATCTTCTATTGGATTTCAAATTTTATTTATGTAAATAGTAGCATAACATTCAATTATTTGTATAAAATTGTATTATTTAATGAAGTTTAAAGAGAAATTTAATAAAAAAAAATCCCAAAATACATTTGAGACTGTAAATAAGCGCCCTCTAAGAAGAAAACTTTTTTCAACATTTTATTTAAAGTTTTTCCTTGCACTTTAGTGTTGGTCCTGCCATCTATGATTGGTATCTGAATCTTTTTCTAGTCTGTTTTCTTTATAAAACAGCATCTGGATTTGTAAAACTTTTAGCCAATCTTAGTAGAAGGTGTTAGTTTCAGTACCATGTTATTCCAATCGCTGTATTTCACGTTTGACAAATCGTAGGATTGATAAGCAAAGCATGTGACGAAACGTTGTTCTCTGGATTTTACAATATGAATGTGTAGGGTGCTTATTATAGTAACTGCCAGTCACTCTATTGTTACAGCTTCTGTTGGACATTGTTCTGTTTATAATTGTAAACCCAATCATTGTTAAATAATTCATGCTTTCTTTTCTGAACTACAAGTATCTGTTAATGACCAATGGTGTCTGTTGTTACAGCTTCTGTTGGACATTGTTCTGTTTATAACTGTAAACCAAATCATTGTTAAATAATTCATGCTTTCTTTTCTGAACTACAAGTGTCTGTTATTGACCAATGGGGTTTGTGATCTGTTGTAACAGCTTCTGTTGGACATTGTTCTGTTTGTAAACTGTAAACCCAGGCATTGTTAAGTATCATTTGTTCTTTTGTCTTAAATGTGAAATAGATGTTAATGACATAACATTTTGAGCAACCACAGCATTGAATGTTTTAGTAGATATGTCAGTCAGGGTTTTGTAAACATTCTAAAGTTTTGTATTTAAGTGAGTGTATGTCTTTGGAGAAAGGAATCCAAATTTAAACCAAAATACCTACCACTACAACGAAGAGTGTATGTCTATATATATTAATGTCTAACTGGCAAAATATAAATAATGAATATTTATCAAGGAATATAGGATGTGTCTGATAGATGTCATTTCTTTTATTGAGTTATTAGTGGTGAGATTACTCTGTAAACATGGGTGATTCAAAATGCTTACTTAATCATGAATGTCATTGATGCAAAATAATATGGACATTTTGTAGTTTTATTTAACTTTCAAATGTTTTGTTAAGCTTCCGGGCTTCATGGTTTAATATTTAAATTTTTCTACAAAAGTTCTAAGTACTATTATTTGCTTCATTTGATGAAATACAGACCAGAATAATAGTATGATTCCTTTTAACCACAATGAAAACAAATTACGAGACAAAGGTCCTTTTATCCTACTGTTCTTACAGATTCAAAACCAAATGGCATCACTGCAATTGCAAGGCCAGTCTTGGAATATGATGGGTAACATTCAAAACCAAAATCCACATGCAGAGCATATAAATTTGGGTTCCCTGAGCTTAGGTGCTCCCCAACCAGCTCCAGGAACTTTTTTTCAAGCTCCAACTTTATCTTCCAGTCTATGGCGTTAAAGGTGAGGTTAACTATTGGTCTGGCTTCATAGTCAGGTTTGGTGGATATCCATCAAGGATAGACTTTATCTACCACTCTGTGGCATTAAAGGTGAGGTTAACTACTGGTCTGGCTTCATAGTCAGGTTTGGTGGATATCCATCAATGATAGACTTTATCTACCACTCTGTGGTATTAAAGGTGAGGTTAACTACTGGTCTGGCTTCATAGTCAGGTTTGGTGGATATGCATCAAGTACAGACTTTATCTATCAGTCTGTGGCATTAAAGGTGAGGTTAACTACTGGTCTGGCTTCATAGTCAGGTTTGGTGGATATCCATCAAGGATAGACTTTATCTATCAGTCTGTGGCATTAAAGGTGAGGTTAACTACTGGTCTGGCTTTGTAGTCAGGTTTGGTGGATATGCATCAAGGATAGACTTTATCTACCACTCTGTGGCATTAAAGGTGAGTTTAGATACTGGCTTCACTTAGTGGGTAGAGATCAAGGGCAGACTGTATCTGTCAGTCTGTGGCATTAAAGGTGAGGTTAACTATTGGTCTGGCTTTGTAGTCAGGTTTGGTGGATATTCATCAAGTACAGATTTTAGCTACCACTCTGTGTCATTAAAGGTGAGTTTAGATACTGGCTTCACTTAGTGGATAGAGATCAAGGGCAGACTGTATCTGCCACTGTGTGATGTTAAAGATGAGGGTAACTACTGGTGTAGGTTCAGAGTTGGGCTTAGTGGGTAAGGATTTATATAGGGTGGTAAAATTTAGAATAGAAAAATTAGGAATTTGAATAAAGTGAAAAGACAAATGTAAGGAAGGAGCAAGGTAACACAAGAGAGAACCCAATCGAGACTTACCTGTGACGATACAGGAGTGTTTAGAACTTTCGACTTGGACTTGAAAGAGCTTGTTTTAAGTGAGAATTGTGTGTTTTTGTTGTATAAGTGTCAGACTGAATATTATGAATGATTGATTTTTAATAGAAATTCTAAATGTAAAAGTTATGATAAATTAAAGATAAATTATTTGTGTATGGCACCACATAAAGTAGTAATTTTATTTTTAGCATTTCTTCCTAGTTAGGTTTAATCTACATAAACACTGTAGCAAATTTTCCTTTTTGTCTAGAGCTGCAAAATCGTCTTTTGAAATAAAGTGATTTATTAGTCATAAAGAAACTGCAGTTAAATATTTTATATGTATAATTTTTATTTGTGTGTGCTGCTATCCAATTAATTATTATTTTTTTCTAATTAGTTTTCCAGCTAAGTCAACAGGAGTGACCTCTGGTGTTTTAGTTGACCAGTCATCTAGCCAGAACATACCACTTCATGTTTGTTCTCTTATCTAGGAGCTCCATTTCTTTAGCAACATTCAAATAACTGTAAAAGAAAACTATGGAGTGAAACAAGTGTCCAAGTACATACTTATCAATCTGATTCTTAGCAGTATTATAACTGTTTTTCACTATTTAAAATCATAACACTGTTCTAAAATGGAGTATGTGCAATTGAAGAACAAAACTACACGTTTGTGTGAGTTAAGTCATGAGTGTGTTTTATTCTTTAAATCTACACATCCAATTTTCATCCATTTGATGTCAATGTCAAATTCATTAAGCTTTTATATTACTGTTTTACTTCCAAGTTCCTTCTGAAGATAGTTATTTAACAAAACCAGAGCAGTTGTGAAGTATGACCAGTTAAATATTCTCTTGACACAGGCTTGATCCTTTTGATTGACCTTGTAACCACCAAGCAATCATGAAAGTATCCATACTCTTTTTTTACTCTCTTGCTACGGGCTTGGTCAGTTCGACAGAGTTTATGACCTTTTGAACCGTGTCTAACTAATAATTTTACTACATGAGCTTTAAACCGCTTGACAGCTGTTCACGAGCATACATTGTGAAGAATTTATATTTTTTTCATTATCTTACTGAATCTAACCTAATACGTTTCACTTAATTCTATAATAATAAATAAAGAAACACATGACAAACAAAAAGTGTAGAACTTACCTGGGTTGTCTTTTTTTTTGTTGTTGCTGTCGAATGTCAATGAAACTTAAGCCTACTTTTTATACTACACTAAATAATTTCTTATTTAAGTAAGTAATGCACTTAAGAACACAGAATAACAACACTTAAAAAGCAAACCATGTCCTGTAACTGTCATAATTTTTCTGGCTTCCTGACTATGAGATAAGAGCCTTTAACAATTTAGCTAAGCTAATTGATGTGATTCGTATGAGAAAAGATTTGAAACTGAATGACGAAATAGAAAATTCCCTTTATAGAAAACAACATAATTTGATAGAATAATACTTTGGCTTTTTATTGGTTATAAATAATACAGTACTAAACGTCAGAGAGAAGTATTGGCAAATTGAGAAAGAGAGGATGCGAAAGGTGGGTGTGACAAATGGGCTTGGTTTTCTAGTATATGGTTCTGTAACCAAATAAGATCAAAGGCTCTAAAAAGTATGGTTTGCCTTAGTAATAACTATATTATAATGAGTAACTTACATTAAACTGTGTATTTCTCGAAGGGTCGGTAAATAAATTGGAGAGAAAACCTAGAGAACAAATGTCACAATTCTTATACAAGGGGAGGTTGAAGATTTTTAAAAATTATTTCCTGATACAATTAAGAGCTTAAAACTTATTTAATAACTAGGTTTTGATTCCAAGTTTATTCGTATACATTGATAATAAAGTAGTTTAATAAATTTTGAATGTGATTCTCTTAAAAAAGCATGACATCCACATTTTGACCTGTCAATAACTAAAGCGTTAATGTGATATATGTATCTTAACAAAATTTATAAAACGTTTAGTAAACATTAAGTCTTTTGTACACAAAGTATCAGATTTTTTAATTAAGTATTTTTCTAAAGGTTCATCTATGAATATAGGGAGTAAAAGTCTTGACCAGTCCAAGCGCAAGGTGATATATATTTTGTTTTTTATCTTACCTCTAAAACATCCTAAATGCATATCAAGTTGTTTTTCATTAAGCTATATTTCCTCTGTCCCAACTTGTAATCACCACAAAAAAATACAAAATATATCTAAGTAACCCTTTGTTTCTTCTAGAATGACTGCAGATTGCAAGAGAAAATTACAATTATTTATCCTAAATAGCTTAACATTTGTAACAGTTTACATCTGTTTTTAATTTAATTTTATTCTCTGTGTCTAACTAATAATCCCTTGATACAAGCTGTAAATCATATCAAATGCTTTTATGCACGAGCTACTCTCGGGCATATCTCGTGGAGAAATGTTTCTATCATCACTGTTTATTAACTAACCTAATTAATTTCCAAATTTTTACATTACAATTACTTTTATAAGAAATTTTGTACTTACTTTTGGCCTCATTTTTTTTGTTGTCGGCCCAATGATGATACGTAAGCCTACTTTGTTTTTGTAATGATAACAGTACATTAAATGATTTGTTATTTGAAATATGCACGTCAGAGGACAATAAAATAACACCTATAAAACAAACAATGTCCTGTAACTATTATAATTTAACTGGTTTCTAACTAAGGTGTAAAGTGCCTTAAAATAATTTACCTTAGCTACTCAATCAGAACTTGGTGATAGCAACTTTCAGTCAGTATCTGAATTAACTGAAAACAAAGTAGCATTATTCAGCAAATTGAAAATTTGTCTTTTTATTGGTTATAAATGATATAATAGCAGAGAAAATATTTGGCAATTTACGAGAGAGGATACTATAGGTTGGGCATGGCAAATGGATCCAACTTTCCAGTTTATATCTCAATAAACAAAAAAGATTGAAGTCTTATGTCTTAGTAATATCTATACTATAATGAGTAATTTACATTAAACTCGGGATATGAAAGAGGAGTGACAAAAAAAATAGATGATGTTTCAAGTCATAGTAAACAAATGTCACAACACATTTACAAGAGGAGATTGAGAATTTATTTAAATATCTCCTTCTGAAAGTAACACTTGTACAACATTAAAATTTGATTAATTAACCGTATTTTGATGCCAGATTTATTTTTGTACGTTGATAATAAAATAGTTTAATTAAATTTTGAATGCAACTCTGTAAAAAGTTGAAACATGCACTTTGACCTCCCCATAGCAAGAGGGTTAATAAACTTCACAACATAAATCTATGTACAAACTTGATACAGTAATAAACTTAAGCTAAAGTTATTTTACTGAAGACTCTTGAGAACTGGTCAGAATTGAAATAGGCATTAAAAACAAAGTCAGAATGATAAATATATTGAAAATTAACCATCGAAAGAACATCATACCAGAATTTGATATCTCCAAGTTTTATTCATTGTACCATATACGAGATGCTAAGCTAAAACAAAGAAAGGCTCATTTCAAATACATAATCCATGATTATTATACAGAAAGACAGTCTGATTTTTATTTAATAATACTAACAGTTAACATAGCCAACTGTTGAGTCACTCTCAGAACTTATGTTAAATCAGCCATGTGGTTCTGTATGTTTCACTTACAAAATCATTGATGTAAATAAATATTGTCTGTGAAATTGTGTACACACCTTAAAAATGAATCGAAAATGTGTCATATTGTTAAGTATCATTAACTTGAAATATTTACTGGTAATTATTTCCATAGATCTTCTTTGATTATGTTGCATGATCCTTAACTTCCAGTATCTGCTGATTATTTTGACAAGTTTGTGGCAAATATGTAAATGAATAATCATGTTTTGTATCAGTAAGTATTGGATTTATCAAAAAGTTTTTCTTCAAAATATTATAATGAAAGTACAATTGTAAATTACTTTCACAAAATTTTGTTTGTTGACTTTACATTTTGTTCACTTACACTGATCTTCTGCACTCTTTAACAAACATTTCTGGACAGAAAATTTTCATATGCTCTTAAAGGCTGCATCACAACTATTATTTTGTTCATAATTTTAAGACTAAAGTTTTTGTATAAATAATTTCAACTGACAAGAGAGAGGGTTGCCTTCTACTGTCATCATGTGAATTCAATGTGCCTCATCTCCCAGCCAACCAGACATCTGGTTCAATGTTTTTTGTAAATTAGGGACTTCACCTCTCTACCTATCATATAAACATGTAGTCCTTTCAGTTCTTCCTACTCAACCAGGAAGCTAGTCTATTCTTTATCTTCCAAGTTCTTTATTAATGTTGCACCCACAGTCAAAATATTGAAAGTGTGTGTTCTGTTTTGTATTTTAGGGCTGGGCCTATTTTCAGTGTTTAGCTATACTCTGATGGTGTTCTGTGTAAGTTGGAAGATAAAACCTTCATGTTTTATTTACTACACATACATGAATATAAACGTACTAATGCTCAGAGAAATGGTTGGTATATGATGATAAGTAAACAAACTTTGTTGTTACTGGTGTTAAACAATCATCCTTGTTTGAATGTACTTTGAAGTACATAGATGTGTAAATGTGTGTGATAGATTTTTTACCATCTTCATTAGGTAATAGTAAGTGTATTGTAACAAGCCATAGGGATCTCCTGATCATGTTTCTAAGGTTAAATCAACTTTGTGACGCTTTGTTATACTATTGCATTTAGTTTGTTTCCAGGTGGTGTATCGAAATTTTCATTTCAGAGATTTGGTTAATGTATAAAGATGTTGTATTGGTTTTCAAATCTTTGTTTTTCTTGTTTGTTAATGAACTAAATATAGAAAACATTTTTATAACAGTAGTTTATAATAAGTTGAAAGTGTATTTACAAAAGAACCAATGTTAATTCTATACAAGTCTAATCTAATTTAGTCTGTTGCTGTAACATTAAAAATTCGTATCTCATGTCAACTGTGTTCCTTGTTATAACTTTAATGTTTATTATTTTCACTTAGAAAGAAACTCACTTAACTTTAAAAAGATGCACAAGTTTAAGATGTCACCTTTGTATTGACTGTAGCCTACTCATGTTTGGCTTGAAGGTGATTTTAACATTCCTGCTATGTTTCAAAGCATTTTCTTTAGGTATTGATAACACTGGGTATGTTGCATATAATTTATTTTGTACAGGGTAACGTCAAGTAGGTATTTTGGAAATAAAGTTGTCTTTACTTCTATAGGATTTGTACTGTTATTAGTTTGGTTTGAATTTTGCACAAAGCTACACGAGGGCTATCTGTCCCTAATTTAGCAATGACAGATTAGAGGGAAGGCAGCTAGTCAACACCACCCACTGCCTACTCTTTTTACCAACAAAGTGGGATTGACTAACCCATTATAATGCCTCCACAACTGAAATAGTAAGCACGTTAGTGTGATGGGGATTGAAACCCCCAAGTGCCCTGGCTACCAGACTGTACTATCATTAGGCTAACAGTCATATATATATATATATATATATGACT